AGCATCAGAGAAGTCAGCTCACCAGATTAACACATTTCAGTTCAATTTTGCTCTGTCTCTCACTAGGGACAGTGAGCCGGAAAGTACACAAGTGATTTTTGTAGGTCACTGCCAAGCCCCGCCACCCGCTTACAGGGACGGCAGAGCAGCGAGCAGGTGGCCGGCCCTGCGACAGAGCTCACCTGGACAGGGTGGTCAGGGTGGCTAGGGCTCTGCTGGAGAGCAAGGGCCAGGAGGGGGTGCAGGCAACACTGCTGCCTGTTCGTCCCCTTCCCCAGCACAACCGCCCTGGATGTACAAGGTGGGGGGAGTCTCCTCCCCAGGTCACAGGGCAAAAGACCAGCAGGGTCTCCTTCGAGGGCTGACCAAGGCAGTGATGGAGCCGTGAACAGCCCCCTTCTCACTGCAGTCCCCTCCTACAGCCTCTTCTTCCCTCTCCATGCGAAAGGAGGTGGATGGTCAGGCCAAGGAGACCCCAGGGTTTCATTCTGCTCCGGCTCAGCAGTGCAAGTCACCATGCCAGGTCCCCCAACAGCAGCCACAAACCTTCCCCAGCAACCAGGTGCTGCACATCCTCCTCGGCCTGCCCGGCGCTCACCAGGGCTCCGTGTCCCGCTGGTCCCATTTCAAGCCCTGGGCACGCTGTGCATGCCCGACCTGGGGTGTGTGGGTGCCACAGCTCCACATCAGCCTGCTCCGACCCAAGCTCTGGCCCCACATAGGCAGGGGAGCAGAGGGACCAGCAGCTGCCCCAACTCCCTGCTGCCCAGGGGGAGGCAGGAGCCAGGCTGGAGTCACCTGGGGGGAACCATCATCTTTTGGGGGAACACTTCAATACCTGTCTACCCTCAAAGATCCTCCTCTGGGAGACCTCACCTGCCTGACAATCAAATGCCCTGCTGCTCTTTCCAGTGGATTGTTCTCTGAAGGTCCAAGATGGTCTCTAACAGGGCATCCCAAACAGCCCAGAGCTGCCCCACCCTGAGCATGCCTGGCCAGAGAACACAGGAGGAATGCAAGGGCTGGATGGAGAAATATACGAAGGTGGGATATTCACCATCACGCACAGGCTTCCAGAGATGCCATTACTAACCTCCTGCCACCACCTCTTGCCTGCACATGGAGTAACCCTTGGGATGAGGCTCACGGGACAGGGGGAGGAGAGCAATCCCCCCTGTTCATAGTCAGAGAAAGAAAGGAGCAGAGGGGAGCCAGGAATTGGAGTCAGAAAGCACAAGCCGAGCGCCCAGGCCGGGCTGCGCAGTGCCACACGTGGGCTGCTGGGCTCTATTTTAAATGCTGTGTGGCAAATATATGCAGGATGAAATCCAAGCTGGGGGAAGGGTAGGGTGCTGGGTGGCGGAGGTGTTCAAAATTAGGAGCTGAGCTCAGGCGAGGATGGCTTCTGGGAGCAGATGGGGGAAGAGCCAGAGCCGGCGCATGTGTGAGCTGTGCAGCTGCAACACCAGCCCTGGCTGTGCGCTCCCAGGATGTGCAGCCCCGTGGTGGGGGGTGCAAGGGGGGGCACGCTCCCTTCTGCCCTCCCAGCAAGGTGGGAGAGCAAGACAGCTATGATGGCCACAGAATGACGGTGAGGACACCCGGGCAGCTGCAAGCCGGGCTGAGAAGCCAGCTTCATCAGCAGCATGGAGACCTCTGGTCCCCCTCAGCACAGCTCCTGGCACGCAGTTCACCCCAAAGACACCTCGGTCCTCAAGGTGTTTACGGGGCAGCCTTCCTAGTGAAGAGGAACTGCATCACCTGCCTTTCACAGCCAGGGATGGTGAAGGACTTGGGGAGACCTGGCCGAGCCCCAGGCAGAGCAAGGAACTGACACCTTCCTTGCCCACGGGCAATCCTCCACACCCGGAAAGCCAGCTTGATTCTGCTCTCCCGGACCGACCCCAAAAAAGCTGCTACCATCTCGCTGCGCTTCGCAAGATGCTCATGAACAGCGCCCCAGCACCTGGGCGCACAGCGAGGCTCTGATGGGAGATGGCAGATCTGGGATGGTACCTGCCCTACATTTACAGAGCAGTCAGGTTGACAGAATGAGCGAGTTTTTATATAGATTTTGGTGGCAGCGGTTTTCTTCACCGGCGGCGGGGGGAGGGGGGGAGAGGAAACGAAGGGACATGGAAAATATTTTCGTTTAAGCTCTTTTCTGCATTCTTGCTGCCAGAGTCGCGCATTATTCATGCGCCCCTCGTAACCAGGCTGGTGGCTCTGGGTTTTGCTCAGAAGGGGCTGCGCAGAATTAAGCAGCCGGTTAAATTATTGATAGTCTGTCTGGGGGTGCCCAGGATGCCCGCTCCTGGTCCCCGCTGCCTTTCGGGGGGCTCCAGTGCCCCCCAGAGGCACAGAAACCAACTACAGCCGTTCGACAAACCTCTTGGCCTCTCTGCCCTACTTAAGAGCCTGCAGACACCCTGTTCTTCTGGCCTGGAAACAACAAGGCTGCGAAGCCACGCTGGACAGGTCCTCCTGTGCCCAGTCTCACCCACCACGCACCCAAAATGGGCAGGCACCAAGAGGGCTGCGAGTGTTTTACCCCGCCAGCGTGTTTGGGGCAGCGGGAGCAGGCGCAGGCTGGAAGAGGAAAGGGAGAAAAGCCCATCAGGCAGGGCAGAAGCCACAGGGGCACTTGTATTAAGCTGAAGGCACCTTCTTTTCACAGCTAGACCGGTGGCAGAGGTGCCACGCAGGGCTTTGCATTCGATGCCACATCTACAGGCTGCAAAACAGCATCTGAGTGTCTGAAGTCTGTCAGGGGCCACTTGCCGGCTGTGCCAGGACAGATGCTCAAAGGGTAGTGGATGCAAGGGCTGGGCTTTGCACCTGGCCGAGCACGTGAGACCGGCTCTCCCCACCCGCAGCAGAAACTGTCCCCATCAGACACGTCCTGCCCCCGCACCAGCCCTCAGCTTCCTTCCTAATCCCTCGTTTCCTTCCCGCAGCCTTGACATCTGTTTTCAGGCAGCTAAATACCACTTGTAACAGCTGCTGCCCCTACAGCAAAAGGCCCGAGCCTAAATTTCATGTGGCAGAACGCAACAAACGTGGAGACTGCAAGGGGGCAAAAGCAGCCAGTGCTGAGGCCAGTCCCTGCACCCTTCCACTCATGGCTTTGCAGGGGGCTCAAGTCTCTCCCTCTCCTTTCTGTTTAGGATAAAACCAGGCTGGAAACAATGGGTCAGTGCTGTGGCCGTGCAGCCCGGCCGCAGAGACCTGCCCGCTCTAACAGGGCTTTTTTTGGCTCATTAATTTTGCGCTGGGAGAGGTGTCAGACTGACAGCCCTGGGGACAATCTTTCTTTCACAGGACAGCTCCGGCACAGGCAGCGGAACATGGCTTTTCAGGTGATTTCATTTTTGGCTTCTGGCATATTTTTATCCTGCAGGATGTGTCAGCCTGGTCGAGTTAAGCACAAGTCCTTCTCCTCCTCCCCATTGGATCAAGTTACTTGGCAGGCACTTTGCCCGGGCACATCTGATACCCTTCCCCTTCCACCCAATGGCTGCCATACTCGGGCCCTCCTCAGTACCACTGCCTTGAGCCAAGGCTGTAGCCTCTAACCCCGCCACAGTCCTGCCACTTATCGTTCCACCGCCCCCAAGACCATCCCTTCCCCATGTCGAGGGCCAACAGCCCCTAAAGTCTGGGCTCCAAATCCTCTCTGCCCCTCAGGGGCATTGGCCATCCCAGTCCTTCCAGGACTTGGGGCTCTCCCAGCAAAGCCTGCTTCCCTCCAGCAGCTTGCCCTCACCACTCATGTGCCTAAAACTGGCCTGGAGGACAGGGGTCACCAGACCAAGCTGTCCTCCTTGCCAAGCACCAGCGGGACGGCAGGGATGGATAGCAGCGAAGCCCCACATATGACCAGGAAAGCAGCGGTGAGCAGTGGGAGGTGGTGGGGCCATCGCATGGGGCTCTGACCACGAGAGACACCAGGGAAAGGAGGAGACGGCAGTCTGACCTGGCCTGCTCGTGGCATCGCTCCCCCAGGCGAGGCAAAGCACTGATTCAGGCAGCAAGGAGACACAGGAGGTTGAAACTCAACAGCATGCAAGGCCCTGAATGAGGGCTGGGCAGCTCTGCCTCAGCTCAGGGGTCAAGGTGACACCCAGGGAAGGACGAGTGAACCCTGCACAGGACCCCGCGGTCAGGTAAGCCGTTCATAAAGGCCATGCTGGCCCGCCAGAGCTCACCTCCCATTGCTCAGCTGACAGAGTCAACCTGGAAGAGTTAGAGATACCCTGGAAGGACTTTGAAACAAGGACATTTTTGTAAAAACCATGGCTGCTTAGCCCTACTTGAAAGCGACTGAGTCTGGAGAAAGAACACAGCTAAAGAGAAAACTCTCTGCAGCACTTGATTGATCTTCAAAGTTGGACCTGCTCCGAGCAAAGGGTTGGGCCAGAGACCTCCAGAGGTCTCCGAACCCATTTTTTGCTGTGCGTATTTGATGCCATGGCTGGCCTTGCTGCCTGCCACGCAGCCAGACCTGCCTGCACCAACTCGCAGGTATTGCAGGTATCCATGCTAGCTCCTAGCCAGCTGCTGAGATGCCCCGCCAGGGAAGATTGACACTAAATTTCTGTGAGAAAAGGGTTACAGGATGGTGCCGGGGTTTCCCAGAGCTGTGACAGACAGGACCGTGCTTGCCGGAAAAGGGAGGCTGTTCACCGCAGGCAGAGTAAGGAGGAGCCACATGGACCGGCCCAGCTCTGCAGGGCTGTGTACAGGGACATGCCACCTTCCCTGCTCAGAGCAGACAGGGAGACACCAAACCACCCACTGGAGAACAAAATGCTGCCCTCCCATGGGGAATCACACATCTCCAGCCATGGGAGCCCGCAAGGGAAATCCTCACAGCCTCCTAACGGGCTGAGTGCCCGCAGAGGAGAGCCACCCCCCCGAAAAGGGCTGTATAGTGAACACCACCTCTGCGTTTTTGCCTCCCCCCTGCCAGGAGCATGAAGAAAGTTAGAGACCCTTACGTGGGCAGTTCTGCTGGCTGGGGCTCTGCTGGGGCAGCAGCCCCCGGGGGCTCTGCCGACACAAGACTGGTGGCTGTGTCCTGGGCTACGGCCAAATCTTGTGTTCCTGCAGCTTCCCCGGCATCTGGCACTGGGATGTGCTCTGCTGTTGTCTCTACCTCAACCTCCTGAGCTGCAGGGGACAGTTTCACCCTCTCAGCGGCTGCAGCAGCCTCCTCCTCCTCCCCCTTCTTCCTTAGCTTCGCCTCCAGCTCTCGGCGCCTCTTCTCATCATCCTGCCGGGCCATCCGCTCAAAGACTTTGAATGCCTGAAAGATAAAAAGCAAACCAAGAGGGTCACCAAACCACCAAGCTCTCCCTGAGAAGGTGGGGGAGGAGGAGAGGAGAAGCATCACACACTTGACGCACTTATTACTGTCCCTCTCACTCTGGACACCACACGCCCCCAGCTCCCTACACCAAGTTGCTTCAGTTGCCAACAAAACCAGCCAGTGACTATTTCAAAAGTCACATGGCCACATTAAATGCACCTCAGGAGAAAGCCCGAGCCATTTTGAAATCGTTTCTTGGGTCATGTTCTGGCAGCCAAACTCACATCAGCCTGGGAAGAGGGCTGGTTACTGCAGGGAAGAGGAGAGCAATGAGCTCTGACTCCTGGCTGGGAAGGGGGCTCTGAGGGAGCCGTCGCCCCTCCAGCCTCCCCTCGCCCTGCATTCCAGTGCTCACTGAGGGGCCGTTTGGCAGCCCGAAGCTCACACCAAACCTCTGAGGCGTGGACAGAATGAGATGCCCCAGGAGAAGCTGGAAGACAGCTTACTTGGTGCTGGCTGAGTCCAAAGAGACTCGGAGCTCTCTTAGCCGGCACAGGTGAAGGAGCAGAGTGACCTCATGTGGGGTTTTGAGCCAGAACTGACTGATTCAAGCCAGAAACACGCACTTGCTCAGGGAAAAGCCATCCCTCCCTGCCCCCAGAGGTGCGGCAGGTGAGAAGGTCGCTGCCCAAGCCAGTGGCAGCAGGAGAAGATGTAATCCCACCCTGCAGTTTGCTTCTCACTGTGCCTGTCTGGCGCAGGCTGGAAGTTAAAAGTTAAACCCACAACTGTGTGATGCAGCTGAGGGAAGCACGGTGATCCAGGATGCGCACCTGCTCCTTGAAGGAGCTGAAGCTCCTCCCACCCAAGTGCCTGGCCATTTCTCAGTGTAAACACATTCTGGAAAGCAAGCAAGCATCACAGACAGCCCTCCTTCGCTTCCCAGGAATATTTCGGAGCCAGCTTCAGAGCTTCCAGCAGGCGACTGACACTAGGCTGCGCACCCAGCCCATGGCACTGCTTGATTCAAGTCTTTCTCTGGGTACAAGAGGTGCAAGACAAAGGGGACGCAGCAGCAGGAGAGCTCCCGCCAGTGCAGCCGCAGCAGGACAGGAGCAGCTTTATCGTAGTGCTTGCTCATGCACCTCACCCCAGGCTTCTTCCCCACACAGGGACCAGCCCGTGGGATGAGGACGCAGGAGAGGTGAGCGCCGGGCATCATCCCCACTCTGTTTGCTTCTTTCTTTGCAACCGCATTTACTCCACATGAAGCCACAGCACCTGTCCCCGGCTCCTTCTCCCCAGCTGAGGCCCAAGCTCAAGCTAGCCCTGCGCGGATCGTGCAGAGCGACACTTTGAAACCGTGCCCTTCCCCGGGCTGTGGCCAAGCCAGGAGGGGGGACGAGTCTCTTCCAAACTGCCCCCCCACACTCTGGGTCCCTGTGGATGCAGCTGTGAGGCCACCCTGGCCAACGTCTTTCCAGGGAATGAATGCTGCGGCCACAGTGCTATGCCTCCCTCCTTGTGCCCAGGCCCAAAAAGGTCCCCGGGGGGCACATGAGACAGGCCACCCACCATCACTGCCCCACTGCCGAGTGGTTTGGGCTCTCTGCTCTCCCCTCTGCAGCCTGAGACCCCCCCCCCAGGCTCCCTACTCATCTGCAGAGCCCAGTGCTCTCCCACGGAGGGAGCTAACCCGGGGGCTGGGGTGTGACAAGGACACCCCTTGTGCTGCAAACCACCGCAGGGAGAGGGGCAGGGATCTCCCGTCAGCCTGCCCACGTCACCCCCTAGCCTGATGCACCTAGGAAGGAAAACTCACCCCATCCAAGCAGACGAACACCCCAAATCCAGCCTTACCCCTAGTTTTATGAGCTCGTTTCCTCCCTGCTAATAAAGCCTTGAGTCAGAGACCTCCAGCACTGCCCCAACACTGAGCCCAGCCCAGCCGGGCAGCAAAAACAGCAGGTATGGGCTTTTGCCATCTCTCACTCACGACCGAGGCGAGCCCAGTGCTGCCCATGAGCTCCCACTCAGCAGAGCCCAAACGAGCTCCCCACACGACCCCAGGGCCCCCACCTGCCTTCGGTCGCTCTCCAGGCTCCCTGCTCCTACAGCTCATGGCGGCAGCTCCCCGCGAGCCCCACCATGAGCCCCCCGTCCCACCCCTGTGCTGCCGGCAGCCGTCCTCAGTCAGGGCCCAGCTCCGAGAGGGGTGTCGCACCCTGGCTCTTTCCACGAGGGTCTCGCAGTCCCCACCTGCCCCCGGGGCTCCTCATCCTCTTACAAGGGTGACGCTTCCCACCCACGCCAGCATCCACCCCCGCGCCCGACCTGCCAGGACACCTCTCCCGCCTCCTCCACCTCTCCGGACAGGGTCGGTAACCCAGGGGCTGCCCAGTCCCCGTTCCCGGTCTCCCCCACCCTGCCCGGATCTCCACCACAGCCGTCACGGAGCAGACCCGGCCGTCCTGCTTGCAGACACGCGCCCAGCCCCGGGGGACACGGCCCGCTCGGCTCGGAGGGAACAAACGCGGCCGGTGAGGCCCAGCGACGGGGACAACACCGGTCACCGCGGCCTCCGCCTCCCACCCGACAGCCAGCACGGCCGGGCCTCGTCACCTTCACAGCCCACCGAGGACCAGCGGTCCCGGCAGGACCCTCAAGGCCGGTAGGGTACAGCAGGCCCGGGCGCCCCGCCGGTACCTGGAGGGCCATGGCCTGCGCCGCGCCGGGCGGGAAGCCCAGGCGGTCCCCGGGCCGCAGGAGGAGGCGGTAGAAGTCGGTCTTGCGGTAGAGGAAGCCGAAGAGGACCCGAAGGAACTCCTCCACATTCCCGACGTGCTGCAGGATCCCTAGCAGCGCCTGGTCGTACATATCGGTGAGCGCGGCCGCGGCCTCCATGGTGGCTCCGGGCCCGCTGTCACGGCAACCGCGCCCGGTCGCGCTTCCGGTCCGCCCCGCACCGTCCCCCGCACTTCCGGTCTCGGCCGCCCGCGTCTCGACCCGCCCGGAACCCGCCCCGCGCCGCCACGTTCCGGCCGCCCCGACGCCCCGCTGTGGTTCCCAGGGGACCCCCAACCCCCCAGAAAGTGTCAGTGGGACCCCCAGCCCCCCGGCAGCACCAGTGGGCCCCCCACCTCACTTCAATACCCAGCGGATCCCCAGACCCCCGTGGTGCCCAGGGGACCCCCTGTCCCCCTCCAGTAGTCCTGGGACCCC